CAAATTATTTACTCCAATGTATTTTATCGCAAAAATGCTTTTATAATAGAAAAATATGACCTCCATCAACAATATATATTCCAGCAGCTCTTTTTCGATATTCTCAGGAAGAATTGGCTTTCTACCTAGTGTCTTTTTTACAAATTGCTCTGGAGTAATGTCTGCTTGCAAATAGAAAGTTAGGAGGAGTTGAGTTCCATATTACTGTAAAAGCACCAAAGGGGTCCGTATTTCACGCATCGCCATCTTGAATTAACTTATGTCTGTCAAGACCAAAATTTAAAAAACGTGAACATCACACAGATTAATATGTACCCCTAAGTCTCTTGAACGGAATACATACACCAGTGAACCTACAACTACACGATTTATATTTTAAAAATAATTAAATTCATTTAGCATTCAAAACTTGTGAATTTTGAAGAAAACAAATTTGCTGATTAAATACGGACAACTGTTTAACTGAAGTAAAACGGGTTTTTCCCTTGCTATGGATGTCTGCCTAGTTCAGTTCAGCTACATTCCGCTACAGTTCGCCTTTATTATCAGTTCGAAATGAGGTGGTTCCATAATACCCGCAGTGTTCCATAATACCACCTTCTCCTCTATATATATAAAAATTATTGAAATATAAGAAAAGTGAAAAAGCTATTCATATTGGATAAGTGATCATTTATAATTTTTTTCATAATGTTGATTATTAATATATTTCTTTTAATCAGTAAAATAATTAATGCACATGTCAAGTAAATGTAATCAAACATAATTAAAACTGTTAACACAAGATATAATGAACAATAAATTGTTTACTAAATTTAAATTTATTTAAAACTTATCAAGTTATTAATAAATTAAAGTGAAAACATAGTTAATGTTTTAATTTTTAAAATAAATTAGATTTACAGACAACTAACAATTAACTTTATATAAAATCTTATTTTAATTAAGTATTATAACAGAAAAATGACTTACCAAAGCAAGATGTTTGCACATGTTTGCATATGAAACACTAAAATTAGGTTCATCTATTGCTTTTTCAAATATCAAATCAATGACTCCTTTCAATTTTTCTTCAGTATTGATTGATAAAGATTTCACCTGTTCAATTAATGAATGAAACTTCTGAGGCGTTAACTTATTCAATATTCCTCTAATTTTCTTCAATAATTCCTAAAAAATTTAAAAATTTTGAGTTAAATATCAAAATAAAACTTTGGTGCCTATAAGTAAGTATAATGATACTAAAATTCACTGAGGCTAGATAATTTTTGAGAAATTTCAAAAATTAAAATATTTAATTATTCTCACTTATTTCCAACTCAAGCTTTGCCAAAACATTTAATACCTATAAAAATTCTTATAATAATAAAAAACTATATACAGTGGACTCTCATTTCAATCAATTATTGATTAGTATCATCATGGCAGAAGCCTTATACTTTAGTGTACACTTAATTCTGTTTAAGGGAAACCTGGTTAATAATTATCATCAACCTTATTTCTAGTCTGAAGTTTATACATAGTGTACTAAACAATATTGGTTAATATCTCTTCTCTTATATAACAGAATTTACATCATTGCTTTCATAAAAATTTCAACAAAATATAAGTACATTTAGTATTCATTTTTGTATTCAAAATTTGAAGATTTTTTTTTTTTTTTTTTTTTGCAGTTTTGGCTATCTTTTCAAAAAATTTAAACAATTTTATCTGACAATATACATATCACATGCTCTTTTATTGTTCATTTATATTAAAAATTTTTGTTTTTAAAATATCAAAATCTAATTTAACAAGTATTAAAAGTAAGGAGAATCAAGGGAGTAATAGTAAAGTTGAAAATTAACAATGTTATAATACAATAGTTCCTACTTCAAAAAAATACTAATTATTATTGACTATCTTTATTAATTTACTTAAAAAAATTTTGAATAGACATTTACTTATATTGATAAATTAGTAAAATATATTGACAAAACTATATTAAAGAAGAATTTCAATTCTTCATAATAGATTTTTAAATAACTCTTTTATATATACCCTTATAATTACTTTTAAATTTTTCCATAATCATTGGAAGATATTAATTTTATCAAAATAGATAAAATTACAGTGTATTTATTTTGTCAAACTATGAAATCAACTCCACTTATTCTTCAAGATAGAGACATTATCAAACACATCATTGGGTTGTGTACAAAAAATTATTTAAAAAACCTATACTGGAAGATAAATTAATAACATGAATATCTATGAATATTTGATTCTAGAAAAGAATGTTTCTGAAAATAAATGCTTTCCTAATTATTTTTTAAAATCAAAATCATCAATGTAAAAATTACAGAATATCTTATTAGATATAAGAATTATATTTTCAAACAATGTTACCTAACTAATGCAACAATATTATCACATCAAGCAGTAAACTCTGCTCAAACAGACAACAAAGACATAAAAGCAATCAGTGAAATTTACGCATAAAGTATAGATTTCTATCTCACATAAAGCTATGTTATCAATACATCTCAAAATGTAGTTTCATAGAACAAACCAAACAAGATGAAAAAACAATACATACAATATATTGTAATACAATACATCTCAAAATGTAGTTTCATAGAACAAACCAAACAAGATGAAAAAACAATACATACAATATATTGTAATACAATACATCTCAAAATGTAGTTTCATAGAACAAACCAAACAAGATGAAAAAACAATACATACAATATATTGTAATAAAATAGATAAAATACGGATTTATGAAGAACAAAAAACATCATTGACAAAATTCTTAACATCGACAATTTTTGAACCATGTGCCAAATATACAGATTTATAAGCAAAAACCTAAAATCAAGAGAAAATAAGCAAGTTTATTTACAACTTATACACTATCATTAACATTATTCCCAGAATTGGTAAATATTGCATCAAATACAGATAATAAATTTTATTAAAAATTTAATCAGTCAAACCTATTTGGTTTAACTGATTAAGCAGATTTAAATTTTAAAAATATTTAATACCTGAGTTTTATAATCCTCTCCTTCAGAAAGTACTTTTTTGTGTGATGGCTTCCATGCTTTTTCACATTCATGAAGCTTAACATCTTGTGACAGAGAGTTAGATATATTAATTATTTTTTTAGGTCTATTATCTCGACAAGGTTGACTTTGTCGTCGATTGAGAGCACCAGATGGCTATAACATTAACAAATTGCAAATGTAAAATAATCATAATATATAATAAATATTATTATACACATAAATCTCATTCATTGTGAAATATTTAATTAATAACATCAAATTGTTAAATACTTACTATTCATACTCTTACTACATAATATCATTTAAAATCATATATTTGTAAAATTGTTCAAAAAAAATAAATAAATAAATAAACACACACACACACACAGTCTTTTTCATTATTTAGTTTTCTTTTTTGGTTTAAATTTTGTTTACAATATTAATTATTTTATTTTTGTATCATTACTATGCATCTATTTCAATACTAATTAAAATTAATATTTATTCTATGTTATTTATTATCTTAATCTATTTCTATAAAACATGGTTTTGAAAATCTGTTTTTTTTTTTTTTTTAGGAAAACATTACAAAGTTGATAAATGTATCTTAAAAAGAAAGAAATGCAAACAATTAAGAAGTTAAAGAAGTTTGCTTTTAAATTTAGTTTGGTTTTTTTTTTCCTTTAAAAACATTCAAAAATTAAACAACTATTTATAAAATAATTAACAATTATAAAGCTATCTCAATACTCATTTATGATTTAATGTGAATAGTAAAATCAACCAATCTTATATAGATAAAACATGAGATTATTATTTTAAAAATCTGTTATTACTATTCACTATAAAGTAGTCTTAAAAAGATTAAACTCTTACAATATAATTATAAGTAAAATAAACTCACCAATCTAGAAATTCCAGTTCTAGTTGCATAATTTGGAATAAAAGGATCTGGATGATTTCTTGCATGAAGAGGCATTAAAGGTGATCGATTTATGTCAGGTAATTTATGTTGAATTGCCTAAAATATAATAAAAGTTTTATATATATTGTCACAAAATATTAAAATTATGTTAATCTTCATTTTATGCTAAAAATATTTTTAAATTCAATTTTCAAACATATTATTACTTAATGATTAATATTTTTGCAAAAGTATTTAATTTCGTTAATATATAATAATTCTTAAGAGAAATTTATTATATATATATGTAATTAATTTCTTAAATCTTGATAATACACACACACACACACACACAATGGAACCTGATTCTGATTAACTCAAAACAAGTTAACTAGAAGTCATTTTCTTTTCCTGATTGTCTAGCATAAGATTTACATGTTAAATCGAACTGGTTAACTCAAATTAGGTTTTGACACAGTATTATGAGATCCAAGATTTTAAGGATATTAAAATCCATTTTTAAGAAAATTTTAAAATAACATCTGTCGCGATAGTTAGGAAAAACATCACACCAGATACCAATCAAATGACATTCTCTATCAACAAATGGATGAGAATTTTAACAGTCAGTTGCTAAATGATAACATCTGATTGTGAAAGGAGAGGAAAGTGACACTGTTACATCGATGAAAGTCATTGTCGAATGCAACTACAAAAGCAACCTTTGGTTCTAAACAACTGCCGATCACCTGACCACTTTCCCAGGCTAAACACACAAAAGGACAAGACAACAACAACAACAGTTCTGGGCATTTGTCATAATGTTACAATGAATTAACGTTTGGTCATGTGCTCCCATAAAAGTGGATGTCTGCCCAAAAAGGGGAATACGAAGTCCTCGGAGAAGACACTTCCATTCTTTCGATGGTGAATCCTCTTCAAGACGATAGAACAACATCTTATCGACAATCAACAAAGAATTGAAGTATTTTGTTAGAAAGTTGTAAACTCTCTATGTCCAAGAAAGTAGAATAGCTTTGCAGCATAGAAAGTAGTATAGCTTTGCAGCATAGAAGGTAGAATAGCCACCTCATTGTATAATCATGTGTTATCCGCATTTAATCGCCTAATTTGTAATACGTATATCCTAGATTTCTAGTTTTATTAAACTTTTATTTGTTGAGTTTAAAAACCTTTATGACTGTCTATTCCTTGGAAACCTGACACCTCATCGACTTACCCACTGCACTCCCCACTCAATATTTGAAGACCCTCCTATATACATTAATTTAAGAATCGCGAGTTAGGACATGATTTAGCATTATCCTAACTGGTGTAAGTTCCCGACTGGAAGCGGAAATCTTACAAGTTGTGGGTTTCCGATAAACTCCTAGCCATCCAACAGACAACGTGAGCAAGTCTTGCCGACCTATCACCAATTAAATGGTATTTAGGGAACAGCCCCTTTTGCCCCTGACTAATCACAATTGACTGT